TACAAAATGAAACAAATGACATAATCCACTATAAAAATAGGAAAAGAATAAAAACAAGCAATTCATAGAAAAAGAAACACAAAGGTATCTTAAACATATAAAAAGATGCTCGACCTTGTAAGAGAAATTCAAATTAAAACTACATGGACAAACCACTGTTCATCTCTCAAACTGGCAAAGATCAAGTGGTCTGAAACTGTATAGGTCCTGGAGCGAATGAAGTATTAATACTATCTTTGTAGGAGAGAAATTTGCCAGTATCTAGCAAATTGTGAATGCATATTCTACTGATATAGAAATATATTTCCAGGATACATTTTTAAGTGAACAAAGCAAGTCACATTATATCTATACAGTATGCCACCTTTTGTGTGAGAAAGAGAGAAAAAGAAGGTATATTTGTACTTGTTTTTATTTGTATATAGAAACATTTAATGACACGGGAAACATACATTTTATTTGTTTGGCGTGGGCTGCACAAATTTTACTTACGGGATGCAGAGTCGGGGAAAGACTTCTCAAGTAAAGTTTTATCTGGTTTTGATTATTGAATCATGTGAAATTGGGAAAAAATGGGGAAGGAGGAAAGGAATTTACCCTACAGTTGATATATTTGCACATGAACTAAGTGATATATGTAGGTGTTATATAATAAAGAATTTGTGTGGTCTTTGTCCTGGGTACCTGAGAGCTTCTAAATCCTTGGAATTTCCTGAGTAACAGCAGTGTCTTTCTTATTCATGGCTAGCCCCTAAAATGGTATCAGGGTTTATGCTAATAATGTGACTCATGGTACCCCCCTAGATTGATCCAGACTGGGGCTGGCCGTGCTACAGAGAACAACCCTGTGATAAGAGGGTTGGGCTGTGAGTCACGTGATATTAGCCTGACTGCCTGACCACCTGAACTCTGGGGAGGGGAGAAGGGCTAGAAAATGAGGTTAATCATGTGGCCAATGACTCAATCCATCAAACATACAAATTGAATCCCCAATAAATAATCCTGACACTGAAACTTAGTTGAGCATCACATTGAGGACATGGAAACTTCGAGTTTGGGACCCTCTCAGATCTCACCTTACGCGTCTCTCCCTTTCACTGGTTTGGATTTCTATCCTTTTGCTATTAAAAAACTATAATCATGAGCATTTTTCTGAGTTCTGGGAGTCGTTCTAGCAAATTATCAAACCTGAGGTGTTGGTAGGAAGCCCCAAACTTATACCCAGTTGGTCAGAAGTGTAGGTGGCCTGGGAACCCCAGAGCTGCAGCTGGTTTCTGAAGTGAGGAGATTCCTGTGGAGGACCATGCCCTTAACTTGTAAAGTCCGCAGAACTGCACTGCAGTCAGTGGTAATCCATTGCAGCATTGTTTGCATTAGCAAAAGAACAACCTAGATATCAATGGGGAACAGGGTATACAACAGTAAAATGCTAAACAGCCACAAGCAATGAAAAAATTCTTTAAGTATTGATGGGGAATGAACTCAAGATAATGAAGGTAGAGACGGCAAATAAGATGTGTCCACACAAATAATCCATAACCAATCTATAAACCAAAATTGGCGTGAGTTTATTACGAGTTAGATCTCAGAACTAGCCGAGGGCCTTTCTTCACCAAGGAAGGAAGAGCATAGAAGTGAGACGTTCAGAGTGGTTATATACCATCTTGGAACAAAGAGCATACATTAAACACACCCAGGATACATTTTCATCAAAATTTCAAAGAGGTATTCAGTTGCAAATTGGCAGGTCAACATGACTGTGATGTCAGGAAAGGGACTAATCCAGGCATTACCAATAGGGCATAGGAGGGGAAGTATGCATTTTTATCTTAAGAGAGTGCTTCTTTCTTTTAATGGTTGAGCAGATGTACAACGAATGTTTGACAGGCCATAAGTCAGGCTTTTTAGTTTAAGTTGAATCAGTTTGGAACTCAAATAGTTACCCCATATATCTCAGTATGTGAAAATCTCTTGCCAGATGCATAACAGTGTGTCTAATGCACTAACTACCTATTGCGTATAAGGTGGAGAGTAACAGAGATATTTGTTTATATAATCATAAAATCTCTACGGACAAATAAGAAAATAATATCGGTCAGCTATAGTAAGGGAAACCAGTTGACTTGAGTGTGATGTGGCCAGAGGTGGAAGAGAAAATTTTTATGCTATACCCTTTGTATTCCTTTTAAATTATGAACCATACAATTGCCTGTTAAAATTAAATTTGAAAAGCTATACAGACGAATCAGATGCATACCAATGATAAGAATTACTTAAAACAATGCTTTGCTCAAAAAATATGTGAAGTATATGAAGATAGATTTATTTTACTCTGCCAGCTTGTGTGCCTCCAACTCAAAGATTGACAAACCAATTAAACTACAAATGTCTGGAGCTAGAGCCTGGAGACCTATACTTTCTTTTTGGTTTTGGTGAATCTGTGCCAATCTTCCCCTAAGACTGAAGCTGAACTAACATCTCTGCCAATCTTCCTCTATTTTATACGTTGGATGCCGCCACAGCACGGCTTGATGAGCAACATGTAGGTCTGTGCCAGGGATCTGAACCCATGAACCCTAGGCCGCTGAAGCAGAGCACACACATTTAACCACTATGCCACTGGGCAGGCCCTGGAGATCTATACTTCTAGTGATTCTACTTCAGAGCCAAGGTGTTGAACTACCATAGGACATGATTACTACGTGCAAAGCATTGTGCTAGCCAAACCAAGGTGATACAATAAAAATATTCCCTGCATATCTACCCAAACAGTTTGAAATCAACAATCCAAAGTAACATATGACACCTATGTTCTTGCAGCACTATTCACAATAACCAAGACCTGGAAACAATCCAAGTGCCCATCGATTGATGACCAGATAAAGATGATGTGGTATACACACAGACACACAGACACACAGACACACACAATGGAATACTACTCAGCCATAAAAAAGACGAATTCATCCCATTTGCAACAACATGGAAGGAACTGGAGGGAATTATGCAAAGCGAAATAAGCCAGACTGAGAAAGACAAACACCAGATGATTTCACTCATATGTGGAATATAAACAAACACATGGACAAAGAAAACAGTTGAGTGGTTACCAGCGGAAGGGGGCGGGTGGGGGGCACAGGAGGTGAAGGGGAGCACTTATGTGGTGACAGTCAAGAAATAATGTGCAGGGGGCCGGCCCAGTGGTGCAGCGGTTAAGTGTGCACGTTCTGCTTCTCGGCTGCCTGGGGTTTGCCAGTTCGGATCCCAGGTGCAGACACGGCATCACTTAGCAAAAGCCATGCTGTGGTAGGTGTCCCACGTATAAAGTAGAGTCAGATGGGCACGGATGTTAGCTCAGGGCCAGTTTTCCTCAGCAAAAAGAAGAGGATTGGCAGTAGTTAGCTCAGAGCTGATCTTCCTCCAAAATAATAATAATAATAACAATAATAATAATAATGTGCTTATATTTCAGAGAATGTGTTTATTCTGAGCCCGGTAAGACATAAGTCACAGGCCAGAGATGCTGCTAGTTAACATAATTCCCAGCCAAAAATTATAGTAATAACAGACAGATCAAATAGGATATTTGAAAGTAACACAGCTTAAAAAAACTGATTCAGTCTGGCTTTCAATCCAGTCTGAGTGATAAATATTTTTTAATTTCAAGCTACTTCTTGAGATAATCAAATTTTGAAGAAAATCTAACTTTTAAAAATATTGCTTAAATGCAGTACTACGTACTTGACAACAGAGTAAGTTTTTTCCGTTTCTCCCTTAGTTTTGGCGTATTGGGTATATTCTAGAAAACTACTTGTATAGTAGTTTACATATATTTGGCTTGTTAAAATTTTTTCCTTGCATGCTTTTCAAAGGAGGGAATTATTTCTCTCAAGAGCCAAGTCTGGAAACAGTCATTTAAATACTGATTTAGGCCTTAAGTTCTCATATATAACTCTTGAAGCTATATACTTCCCAGAAAGCCCATTCTATCTCCTATCTTAATGAAACTAAATGTTTTCATAAGTACATGCTTCTCCAGAGGTCTTCTCAAGTGTTAACTGTTCCTTTGCTCACAGCCAGTATATCTTAGGAGTGTGTGTGTGTGTGTGTGTGTGTGTGTTTTGGGAGGAGAGAGGGGAGCAGAGTCAGCATTCTTCTAGCCCCTGCTATAGCTATTAAAATGGCACTAGTTTACCTACCTATAAAAACCTTCCTTCTTTCGAGGCACATGCCATCTGGCTAGATGACCCTTCTATTTCTTGTCACTGTTGTCTATCAAATCTCACTCCCGATTTCTGTATCTGGATCATAGTTGTCTCAGTTATCTAGCTGATTTCCTTTCTTTGTAGATGACATCTTGAACATCATACTTCACAATTTAACAACCTCCACACCAGTGATCCTCTCCACTTGGCTCTAACCACATATTCTAATGACCAAAACCCCCCAACTTGTCTCCTCTACTGAAACTGCCTTCGGTTCTGTAATTCTGTTACTATCCAACGTATCCCTCACAACCCATTACTTTCAATTGCTAAACATTCATTGTTAGGTCTTGTTCTTTGATCCATCCTCCCACTCTGTGGCTTTTGATTGGAGAGTTCAAGCCATTTACATTTACAGTGATTACTGAAATGTGGGGGCCTACCGCTGCCATTATATGTCTTGTTTTCCGGTTCTCTTCAATTTCCTTTGTTTCTCGTCCCATGGTTTAGTCTGTTCTGATGGAGAGCTGCTACTCTCTGTTGTTGTCCTTCTACTTATCTCCTTTGCTCTCGGAATAAGATTGTTTTTTGGTCATTGTTTTTGCTTTTTTGACAAGGTTTTTTTTCTCCTTTGAGATTATAATGAACATGCTCACACCATAAGTAAAGTCAGAAGTAGGACAGAGGACACTCTGAAGGCTAGTTTGGTCATCCGAGATCATTAAAAATGGCTGACCTCTAACAATATGTACAAAAATATAAAACGTAAATAAAAAATACAAACAAATTTTCCTTTTTAAAGTACTTTTAAGAAAAAAAGCAGGGCCTTAGAAGTTTTGGTTCTTTTTTCCTCCCCTGTTGCAAATTCACGTTGTGGTTGTGGTTGGGTGGTGAAGAGCGTGTGTCATCTGCGGGTGGCACTGCCTGCGGTGGGCAGGCGGGTGGACTCTCTACTCGAAGGTGACCACGTTTAGATTCTGAGATCAGAAGTGGAGGGTGAATAGGTCACGGAGGCCTTTTTTTTAAGTTTAACTTTTCCTTTTTTGCTGTCTAGTCATCCTCGTCGGTCTTCTGCTTCTTGGTGTCAACATCGTCGTCCTCGTCATCTTCAGCTGCCCGTTTGCCCGTAGCTGCCTCAGCCTCCTCATCTTCATCTCCATCCTCTTCCTCACCATCGCCTTCCTCCTCCTCTTCCTCCCCACCTTCTTCCTCTTCTTCATCTACCTCATTGTCAGCCTCCTGCTCCCCATTTTCCTCATTAGCATTCCCATTAGCAGGTGCGTCTCTTCCATTCTCTGCCTCCTCCACAACTTCCTTCTTCTCCTTTAAGTCCTTGGTGGTGATCTCGGAGCTGGTGTCCACGGCTGCGTCTGACACGGTGGGGCACACCGGTGATCCGATGCAGCGGATTAAAAAGGCGAGAGTTAGAGGACTCTGGCGACAAAGCTGCCGGAGTCGGCGGCAGCTGAGGTGCACGGCAGAGGTGGCTGCGGCAAGCGGGTGCCGGGTACGGGAACAATGCAAAGACGGCTTTTCAGAGCAGCCAGTCAAAATGTTGGTAATTGTCAAAGCTGGGTAATCAATTCATAGGGGTTCATTAATGTCTTCTCTGTGTGACAAAATTTAAGAACTAAATCACATTAAAAATTTAAAAGTTAAAGAAAATCAATTATATAGTGATATTTCAAAAAGAGAGAATAATGCAATATTAGATTGACACCTCCCTATGATTCTATTCACACATAACACTATCTCAGAAAGAGAAGTTACAAAAAGTTAAAGTGGCTGGGTCCAAATTTAGTCTCTGAACTTTACAGCAACATGTATGTCAGCCAATTTAGGGAATCTAGGAGATGTGATAGATCTAAATCAAGGTTTCTCAAAGTCAGTACTACCAATATTTTAAGCCAGACAATTATTTGTTGTGGAGTCCTGTCCTGTCCACTGTAGGATGTTTAACAGCATCTCTGGCCTCTCCCACTAGATGCCTGTAGCATATCCCCTCTCCAAGTTATGACACCAGAAACATGTCCATGTATTGCCAAATATCCCCTGATCTAAGCACTGATCGAAACTCATGATTTCTTAGAATGGTGAGCTTATTATAAAAAGAAAAAGGGACTTAGTAGTATATTCCTCAAAATCTGCCAAAACAACTTGAGTAAAGCAGCATTAGACCAGCCAGCATCAGACAAGATATTTTCTCCATCTTAATACACTCAAATATCTGAATAGAAATGTGATGTTTTTAAAAATGTAAATATGTACATTTCCTTACTTTTAAACACAACATGCTAAACAAAGTAGGCTTTTTGTTTTAGGAAGACTAGCCCTGAGCTAACTGCTGCCATTCCTCCTCTTTTTGCTGAGGAAGACTGGCCCTGAGCTAACATCCATGCCCATCTTCCTCTATTTTATATGTGGGACGCCTACCACAGCATGGCTTGCCAAGCAGTGCCATGTCTGCACCCGGGATCCAAACCAGCAAACCCCAGGCTGCTGAAGCAGAATGTGCGCACTTAACCGCTGTGCCATCAGGCCGGCCCCCAAATTCGGCTTTTTTGATGATTCAAGACAATGAACACGATATATATTTATATTCAGCTTATTCAAAAAAATAGGAGTGACATCACAAAATACAGTGGAGTAGAAACTTCCAAAACTCCATTCTTTCACAAAAGCAATGAATAATCTGGCAAAAACTGTCAGAATCAACACTTTCAGAAGTCTGGGATCTAATCAAAACCTTACAACAACCAAGAGAATACTTAATGAAGAAAGAAGCTGCTGAGCTTTTGTAAGAAAGTCCTACTGCATTTTAACTTACCTGCTCACCATCCTCAACTCACAGACACGGCCACAGACACAAAGATGGCAGTCCACAATGGTGCAGGGTGTTGGTACTAAAGGGACCAATATGGGAGACCTTATTCTCAAAGAATTGTGGTTGCGTGTTGTAAACTATCTGGTATCTCCCGGAAAGACTGGCTCAAGAGTATGCCTTTGTCCCACCAGCCTTGGAGATTCCCAGAGCTGAAGCAGCTTACTGGGCAGTGTCTGTCAAAGGCATTTAAAAACAAATGTTTAGCCATAGTTACCTCCAGTTAAGAGATAACAGAGGAAGCAAGAGACAGACCAAACAGCATAGGAAAGAAGCAGCTGGGGAAGAAGATACTTAGGAGAACAAAGGCTTTGAAAAGCTCCCACGTCTACTGGGAAATCTAGAAGATCACATGCATGCCTAGGGATGAATACATGCTCAGAAAAGACAGAGGGAGACCCTAAGATTTCACTTCTGGTTGACCTTTCAGCTCTGAGAATACAGGAAGTGAAGGGCAAGGCACAGCTGTAAGCAGTCTGGCTGAATCTTGAGTACTTTGCAATACAAAGGCAATTTGCAAAGACTAGGAGAATTGTTGTGTGGTTTCTTTTTCCATCCAGGAAATCTCTGCCAATCATAGCTGACCACTAAGATAACAGAACAGAGAATTTAGTGGGCATACACACAAAGAATATAGATTTTACAAAAATAGTTTAGAAGAGTCATTAAAGAAACAAATAATAACCCATAAAAAGAGCAACAAACTCTGGTGAAGGAAAAGAATCAGATTTCCAGTTACCACATTATAATATTCAAAATGTCCAGTTTTCAAAAAAAAAAGAAAATGTGAGCCATGCAAAGAAACATGAAAGTATGTCCTATTCATAGGAAAAAAAAGAAACAGAAACTGTCCCTGAGTAAGGCCACACACTGGACTTACTAGACAAAGACTTTAAATTAAATTTACATATGCTCAAAGAACTAAAGGAAACCATGGACAAAGACTGCAGTAATCATAAATGATGCCTCACCAAGTAAAGAATATCAATAAAAAGATGGACATTATAAAAAGGAACCAAACAGAAATTTTGGAGCTGAAAAATACAATAACCAAAACAAAAAAGAGCTAGTTCTTTGAAAAGAGCAACAAAATAGACAAATTGTTAGCTAGACTAATGTAGAAAAAAGAGAAGATCCAAATTACTAAGATCAAAAATGAAAGTGGGGGGCTGGCCCCGTGGCCGAGTGAGTGGTTAAGTTCGCACACTCCACTTCGGCAGCCCAGGGTTTTGCCGGTTTGAATACTGGGCACAGACATGGCACCATTCATCAAGCCATGCTGAGGTGGCATCCCTCATGCCACAACTAGAAGGACCCACAACTAAAAATACACAACTATGTACCGGGGGGCTTTGGGGAGAAAAAGGAAAAATAAAATCTTTAAAAAAAAAAAAAAAGAAAGTGGACACATTTCTATCAACCTGGGGGGGCAGGGGGAAGGTGATCATGAAAAACTGCATGCCAACAAATTGCCTAATCTCCATGAAATGGACAAATTCCTAGAAACACACAAACTATCAAAACAAACTCAAAAAGAAATAGAAAAGCTGGACAGACCTCTAACAGAGATTGTAACAGTAGTCAAAAATCTCCCAACAAAGAAAAGCCCAGAACTAGAAGGTTTCACTGGTGAAACTTACCAAACATTTAAAGAAAAATTAACATCAACTCTTCTCAAAATAGAAGGAGAGGGAACATGCAATACTCTCTTCAACACAGTGCTGGGACAATGGATACCCACATTCTTTAAGGCCAGCACTGTCTTGATAGCAAAGATAGAAAAAGAAATCACAAGGGCAAAAACAAACTGTAGGCCAATATTCATTATGAATATAGATGCAAAAATCCTCAACAAAATACTAGCAAACCAAATCCAGCAGCATATTAAAAGGACTATAAACCATGACTAAGTGGGGTTTTTCTCAGAAATGCAAGACGGGTAAACATTAGAAAGAAAAACAAACAAACAATATAATGTGCCAAGTTAACAGAATGAAGGGAAAAAGCCCCATGATAATCTCAATGCAGCAGAGAAAAAGCATTTGATAAAATCCAACATTCTTTCATGATAAAAGTACTCAATAAACTAGAAGGGAGCTTCCTTGCCATGATAAAGGGCACTTACGAAAACCCATAGCTAACATCATAGGTAATGGTGAAAGACTCAATGCTTTCCTTGTAAGATCAGGAAAAAGACAAAGATGCCCACTTTGTCCACTTCTATTCAACACTGTACTGAAGTTCTAACCAGATTAACTACGCAAGAAAAAGTAATAAAAGGCATCCAAACTGGAAAAGTAGTAGTAAAACTATCTCTATTAGCAGATGATATGATCTTATATACAGAAAATTGTAAAGAATCTCAAAAAAAAACTGTCAAAACTAATGAACGAATTCAGCAAAGTTCAACTCACAAAATCAGCTGTCTTTCTAAACACTAGCAATGAACAATCTGAAATTAAGAACACAATTCCTTTTACATTAGCATCAAAAAGAATCAAAAACTTTGGAATAAATTTAACCAAGGAGATGCAAGATTTATAAACAAAAAACTACAAAATAGTGTTGAAAGAAATTAAATAAATTTCAAATAAAAGGGAAGACCTCATATGATCATGGATTGGAAGACTTAATATTGTTAAGACAGAAATACTTCCCAACGTGATCTACAGATTCAATGTAATTACCATCAAAATCACAATGGTTTTTTTTTTTTGCAGAAACAGAAAAGGTGATCATAATATTCATAATGGAAACGCAGGGATACAGAATAGTCTAAACATTCTTGAAAAACGAGAATATAGAAGACTCATACTTCCTGATTTCAAACCTTATTACAAAGCTACAGTAATCAAAACAATGTGGTACTAGCATAAGGACAGATATATAGATCAATGGAATATAACTGAGAGTTGAAAAATGAAACCATACATCTATGGTCAATCGACTTTGGACAAGGGGACTAAGACCACTCAATGGGAAAGAATAGGTTCTTTAAGAACTACTGCTGAGACAACTCAATATCCACGTGCAAAAGAATGAAACTGGAGCCTTACCTCATGACATATTTAAAATAGATCAAAGACCTAAGGGTAAGAGCTAAAACTGTAATACTCTTAGAAGAAACTATAGGGGCGAATCTTCATCACCTTGGATTTGACAATGGTTTCTTAGATATGGCAATGAAAGCATAATAAGCAATAAGAAAAACTGATAAATTGGACTTTATCAAAATCAAAAACTTTTGTGCACAGGACACTATTAAAAAAGTGAAAAGACAACCCACTGAATGAGAAAATATCTGCAAATTATACATCCAATAAGAGTCTAGTATCCAGAATATATAAAGTAGCACTACACAACTCAAGAGCAAAAAGACTAAACAATGGACAAAGGGCTTGAATGAACATTTCTCCAAAGATACTCATATGGCCAACAAGCACATGAAAAGATGCTTAACATCATTAGTCATTTGGGAAATGCAAATCAAAACTACAATGAGATGATATTTCATACCTACAAAATGGCTATAATAGAAAAAAAAAGGAAAATAAGTGTTGGTGAGGATGTGGAGAAACGGGAACCCTCAAGCACTGCTTATATAAAACAGGGTTAACTGTTGTGGAAAACAGTTTGGTGGTTCCTCAAAAGTTAAACAGAGAATTACCACATGAACTAGCAATTCCACTCCAAGATATATACC